CCACAACTGAGCATGTGCCCTGACTTGGAATCTAACTAGCAACCTCCTGGTGCATGGGACGATGCCCAACCACCTAACTCACACTGGCCAGGGCTAATATTTTATTTTGTATGATCTTGGCAGTGGTCTTATGAAATTATATCTCTCTTCAGATATCAGTCTTACTTTGAAATTTACCAAAGTATCCCCTTTATCTACAGAATGAAGTTCAAATTCCTTAGCATATAATTAAGCTCTCTGCACTCTGGCCTCTGCTCTTCTCTAAAACCTGTTCTCCTACTGCAGGCACCCACCCAGCCAAACTCGTTTCATTCACATTCTGTCTTTGTTCTTGCGGTTCCTCTCCTCAGAATGTGCTTCCTGTTCTCTGTACAGGATGGTCTCTGATTCACTTTTCAACCAGCCCAGTACCATCTCCTCTAGAAAGGTTCCCCTGCTCTCCGGGCAGGGCTATTTGCAGCCCTCGTCTGCCCGATGCCTCACCCGGCCCTCCCTGTTTCAGGCCTATAAAGCTGTGTGAGGATGATGTGTGTCTATGTCTTTCCCTGCTGATTATACTGTAAACTCCCCAGAGACTAGCATTGTGTCTTCTTTATCTCCATAGACCTAGTGCCGAGCTCAGGACTTGTGCTTCATAAATAGGGCTCATAAATATTTGAAGAAAGGAAAAGGAAAGAAATGAAGGAAATAAGAAAAAAACAACACACAACAGTAATCCTCTGCTTTCAATAAGGGTTTTCTCCTCCCCAAATGGAAAAGGTTTATACCAGATCTCAGTCCTAATAGAATGAAATAGAGCCTGCATTTCAGAGATGGCCAAGGTCATGACCTGAGAAGTTTAAGTAGAAGCAATGCAACCAGGGGCCTGTCTGGATCGAGGCGGGCTCCGAGATATTTTGGTTACGACACACCGGGAGACAGCTAGCAGCTTCAGATTCCTCCCGTCACCTTTCGAAGCTGTTAATGAAACACCTTTTCTAACCTTTCCGTTTCCCGTCTCTTGCTCCTCTCAAACAGGCCTGCAGATCATCTTCCCTCCATACCTGCAAGAGAAGTTTGTCCAGTCGGCCCTGAGCTACATCATGTGCAACGGCGAGGGCGAGTACGTGTGCCAGAACAGCCAGTGCCGATGCCAGTGTGCCGAGGAGTTCCCACAGTGCAACTGCCCCATCACCGACATCCAGATCATGGAGTACACGCTGGACAACATGGCCAAGTCCTGGGCCGAGGCTTACAAGGACCTGGAGAATTCAGGTAGAGAGCTGGCTTAGTTCTGCTGCACGAATGGCCCTGAGCCAAACCTAGAAAAGGCGGGTGTCTAACTGAGGTGAGGGCTGCTGTGAGGGAATACTCACTGAGCATCTCCCCTCCACTTTGGAGAGTCCAGGGCAGGGTCTCGTAGCTGTCAGGAGGTAGGCACTCAATAAATCTCCACGGGATGGAATAATGAACAGTGCAATCAGGTTTGTGGGCCTGTGATGGATTGTCTCTGTTGTACCCGGAAGACAGAGAGAGAGATGCCCCATAGCACATAGGACGCCTCTGCAGAGTGGAGAGTTCAAAGTATTTGTACAAATTCCTGGAGTCTGTGAGTCTATCTAAATTAAGAAACACACATATATGTGTATATATGTCTGTGTCTATGTACATCTCTATGTAGATATTGCTATAGATATCCAAATAATTGACCAACTGTCAAAGCTGGAAGTCACTGCTCAGGTAACGTCGCCATTACCTGCTTCCCATGGTTCAGGGGAGGAAAGTCAGTCACCTAAGGCCACAGTGGGGCTGAGGTGCGAAGTTGGATCTTGGTCCTCATGCAGCATCTGCTTAATGGGAAAGCCAGGCATGAATCATATCACCGTGCCAGTCATTGACATTTTAACCACATCTGTGTGGAGAATGAGAAGCTACTGTGAGCAAAGAGTGTAGAGCTGGAGGTTGGCATGGCCAGGAGTCAGGGAGGCCACTGGGGGAGAGCAGGGTCCACATGTCTGACTGGGGCCAGAGGTCAAAGGGTGAGCGCCCAGCCAATGGGAGGCCACCTCAGGCACCTAGGAGATGTGCCTGTGATGTGGGCTGGGACCATGGCACAGGAAGTAACAGTGGGAAATGTGCAGAGAGGCTGAGCTATTTAAAGGGAGAATTTGCAGGACTTGTGAAAGGAAGGGCGAAAGGAGATCCCCAGAACTCCTTTTGGGCATATTTGTCAGGCACTTTGATGGATGTCGGTGCCGTTCACTGAGCGAGAACACCCTGCAAGGTTTGGAAAGAAAACTGTATTCTGTTTTGGACATGAAAGCTGGGGAATCCTCAAGACTTCCACGAAGAGATGCCAAATAATGGCCTATAATTTGTACTCAGATATCTGTTAAGTAAATGGACATATAGAGAGAGCATTACTGTTTTTAAAACAACTTTATGTTCCTTAAATCTATTACAAGAACTGCATTAGAGTAAGTAATGGTGTTCCTATATTGTAGAGCAGGGAGGGTGCCAAGACCCAGTGTCTTCCCCAGGGTTACATAGCAAATGGCAGAGTCGGTAATGGAATCCCTGGTTCCAGACCCAGTGCTCACAGCAGCTCTTGTACCTTATTAATTCCACTTTCCCCCCAGTCCTCCGTTCCCTCATCTAATAAATGAGAGGACATGTTTATGTGTTTAATTTTTGAATTTATTTAAATATGTAGCCAAGAAACCCTTTGATCAAACAGAATCATACCTCGGAGCCACTGTGTACCGCAGATAAAAGCCAAGCTCCGTGGAGCTGTGTTTGGAAACCACTGGTTACCATGAACTCTGTCCCCAGCCAGCCCTGAGCGCTCAGGACGCATCAGTGACTCTGCTCTTAGAAGGTCACGCAGCTCCGGGAGCTGTGGGTGCCTTAGGAACCTGCACCCATTAGTCCATTTAAAATCCTGGGAACGCATCAAAGGGAGGGGTTCGAGATGGAAATGGATTGTGATGGCTATTTGGCCTCAAACAAAAGAAGCAATTGATTAAATGCTTTTGCAAAGAGATTCTCCCCATTGCTAAAAAGCAGAGGGGAACGGCAGCCATGTGCATGAGCAGAAGGGTCTTTAGCGTAGAATCTTTACACCCAAGGAAAAGAAACTACTTGGAGTGGACGGGTGGGTAAGGGAACAAGAGAGCTGAGATGCTGCAGAGTAAGCTGGATGGTCCACGGGAGTTACTGGCGCCATGCTTCCCCCCATAGGAGCACATATTCACTCTAGATACCATGTACTTAGCCATTTGAAAGGTTTTTCCCCATTGAGACAGATCCATCCACCCATCCATGTCCATGTGGCTTCTGCATGTGTCTCTTCCTCCTCATTATGAGCTTGTAACCTTAATGACCCAGCACCAGGTAATTCCAAGGATTCACAACCAGCCAAAGGTAAAAGCCATTGATGCCTTGATGGCCCTGGAGTGTTGGTGGTCAAACAGGACCGACTTCACACACACAGATGGGGGTCTGCGTGTCCTCACTGGGGGGAACCTTCCACTTTAGTCAAGAAAGTACATCATCTTAACTTTTAAGTTACTTTTTCTTATCTGACCCAAATTCGGGTTCATTGAAAGGACCGTTACCTCCCTCGAGGTCAGCAGAGCCGTCTGTAGGATGAGCTGCATCTATACTATAGATTCTATAGGATAAGCTGCGTGTCTTCCATGGGAGGAGCACCAGGCTGGCGAGAGCAGCAGAGTGGAGCCCAGTGCCCTGCCTGCAGCCTGTGCACCGAATACATCAATCTGTGCAGCCCCGTTTTATCCTTTCCATGTCCCGCAACCATCCGTGGAGCACCTTCTGGATTTGGGGAACTATTTAGGCAGATACGGTTCTATGTCACCCTCTCAACATTTGAATTAGATGCTGTTATACCTGCTTGACAGATGGAGACACTGAAGCATTGAGAGAATAATGGTCACACAGCTGTGGGTGGGCGAGATGCAGTTTGCAGGCACGCATGTCTGGCTGTCCTGGAGTCAGAGATGGGTTTCCTGTACGCATGTTTTTAGCACCTTTCATTTCATTGTTTCTCCCACGATCCTCTTTTTGTATAGAGAGTAAGTGTTATATGGTAACTCAGAGCATCAGATTCAGAGCCAGTCTAGAGCTGTAATTCTGTCATTACTGGCTGTGTGACGTTGGCAAGTTAATGAACTTCTCTGTGCCCCAGTTTCTATGAAATGGCGCACTGACAGTACCCACCTCACAGGTTTGCTATAAAATCACTTATATGTGTTAGATGTTTAAGACTGAGCCTGATGCTTAAAGAGAGCTATGTAAGCATTTTTTAAAATAAAATGAATGCCTATTATACCTGAAATTTTCTTGTAGGTTTTGTAACAAAGTGAAAATATTAGGCTTAGGATATATATATATATATATATATATATATATATATATAATCACTTTACCTTTTTATCTGCCAAAAATTTAACCTCTTAATTCTTTATTTTTTCCAATAGTTGAGGGGGGCATCGCCGAGGCGGGCCAGTAAGAATTAGATGGGAAAACAGCAGCTCTGGTTTTAGTCCTGCCTGGGGCACTCACGGGTTGTTCTACCTCCAGAAAGTCCTTCCCTCACTTTGCACTTCAGTGTCCCTATATGTAGAAGGAGAGAGCTGACCCAGATACTTTCAAGTTGTCAAGTTGTAGCGCCTGCTGACACCGGGAAACTTAGCATCACGCAGACAAAGACCTTCCCCCGGGAGGCTCTGGAGTTTGTTCCCATCTCTTAAGCTGGAGTTCCCCCAAATGGGACTTGACATAAGATGCCAGGCACACACGACTTCCCGTTAGACTAGGCCCCACAGTGGGGAGGCTGATCCATTCAGCCCTCCATCACACCTGAAGATCACATCAGAGAGGTTTCCGTGGGTGCAAATGTGCTTTTAACACCTATCGACCATTTGCTACTTCTCTGTATTTCAGAGTGAGAGCAGGTACAGGGGTTTGGCCATGTAGCAGGGAACAGTATCTGGCTAGGATTAACATTGCTTCCGCCATACTTATGTTTACAGCTCCCATCCTACTGGACGCATGTGGTTTTCTATGTAGAATTAGACAAAAATTGGGTGTAATCGGTTCTGAGTAAATATAAACACGGGATATGCGGGTTTTGCTATCCAGTTGGCACTCAGAGGACACAAGTTTGTCGTCAGCAGGAGGCAGGGTCACTCCCGGAGCAGCAAAGCCAAAGAGCCTTCGTGTTGACACGTGGCCTCTGCACCCCTCCCTGGGAGCGGAGCAGGCGAGCGCCCTGTTCCCTGGGCCTCCAGCCAGGCAGTGTTCCTTGCAGGCCGCCTCCTTGGTGAGCGACCTCAGCTGGGGCTTGCAGGCTCAGCCTTCTCTCCTGGCCTTTGTCTCCCGCCAGATGAGTTTAAATCGTTTATGAAGCGTCTGCCCAGCAACCACTTCCTGACCATCGGGAGCATCCATCAGCACTGGGGCAACGACTGGGACCTGCAGAACCGCTACAAGCTCCTGCAGAGCTCCATGGAGGCCCAGCGGCAGAAGATCCAGCGCACCGCCCGCAAGCTCTTTGGCCTCAGCGTCCGCTGCCGCCACAATCCCAACCACCATCTGCCTAGAGAGAGGTGAGTGCTGCCTCCGCCTACCGCCTCCGCAGGCCCGGGCCTGGTGTGAGCTTGCGTTTGCTTGCTTCAGGGGCAAATGCAATGCAGGCGATGCCTTTGGAGGTGGCAAGCGAGGCCTTGTGGGGTCCAGATCATCCCTGGCTTCTCCGCTACGGTTCCGGCTGCCCTGAAACAATGGGTGTCTCACTGTGGCCTGAATATGCCCTGAACTTCCAACCTCTGTGTTCTGTCTGATCCGTATTAGCTTGCTAGGGCTGCTGTGGCAAAGTACCGCAGACGGAGTGGTCTAACAACATTGATTTCTCACAGGTGTGGGGGCTAGGAGTGTGGGCTGGGGGTGTGGGCAGGGTTGCTTTCTCCAGAGCCCTCTCTTCTGCTTGTCGATGGCCATCTCTCCCTCTGTGTCTGTGTCCTAATCGCTTCTTCTTTTAAGGACACCAGTCCTATTGGGTCAGGGCTCACCTCAGTGGCCTCATTTTAATTTAA